GAAGATAAAGGCACAGTGGAGTGTTAAGAGAAAAACACACACACACCACAGGAACTTGGAGTAGTGAGTGGAGGGGATAATTATGAGAGCCAAAAACAAGAAGGAGATGTTGGAAAAAGGAAGAGAGTGAAGGTTTTTATTTGAAAGTTTATTTGAGTAAAGAAAGGTAAATGATAAAAGGAAAAATAGACAAAAACAAAACCATTAAGAAACAGTGTGAATGTGAGAGACAAAAAAAAATTATATTGCACCTCATGGTGTCTCTTTTGCCAGAAATAAGCATATGGTTAGAATTTCAGTGAGAAGAAGAGAGCACGGTGTCAAAACAGAGAGACTTGACAAAAGAAAAACTGTTCCTTGAGCCAGAGAACCTAAATCTGCCTCTCAGTAATATTCGGCAATTTCCTGAGAGAAATATTAAAAGGACTTCTTCCTCCTCACCACACAGGGAATAAAGGCTTCTGACAACCAGGAAACTCTCATGTGCACGTATGGATGTGAGTGTGAGTGTGTTGTCGGAGTTTGTGTACAGTTTACGTGCTATGTGTGTTTTATCGCTGATGTATGTCACACCTCAGAGCAGTTTTAATAAGTCGCTGGGGGAATTTTTCTACGCTTTGAAATTAGGATCCTGTCAGGCACACACGCACACACACACACACACACACACGGAGGGATGGGGGGGAGATAAGGAGAGACGATTTGAAAGGGCAACCAAACCAAAGTGATATTGCTAGGCAGAAGGTGGGGAAAGAAGCAGCGGCAACCCTGAGCAATCTTTCTGATCGCGAATGTCGGTGTAGCTCTGAGCTGTAGACACTTGACATCGTGTGAGGGAGAGAAACGGATAAGATGAGGTACAAAGACAATGCACAGGTGATGGAGAACAAAGAGAACAGAGCAGTAACAAAGATGCAAAAAAAACCCCAAAACACATTCTTTACACATTTTGTAGCATTGTCTGTGGCATGGAAAAGTTTGGGAACTCTTAACTGCCTTAGTCTCTTACACTACATCATCTACTGGTCAACGCAGGCAAAAACACTCACCAGCCCCGCCCTTGACGCTTCCCTGGGGCCCCGACATGGAGAAGACGGAGAGGCAGTCATCGTCCTGGGAACAGCCGGCCTGGATGGCACGGACGTAGCTGTGGCTGCGAGTGCGGAACACACCTGGAAGATCCAGGGCCTCCACAGCTTGAGACTCCACCTCTCCAAACATGGTCTCACACACTGCCTCAAACTGACGGTTTACTGTGTCTCCCAGCTGCAACGCAGAGATTAGGACACATTAATCCTTTGTCGAAAGTGGGAGCCAGAGTTTTTAATTCCAATTTTTGAGAGAACAGCTCAAACTCCTTCTACATATATATATATATATAAATAAACATCCACATGAATTTGTTACCTGTGAACTTGTCAGGGAGCGGGTGTAACTACGGGAGCGTGCGTGTGGTTTAGGTGTGGTTCGGCTGTTGGGGTAGGAATCTGTGCACTGCTTACAAGAGTACCTGCATGGAAATCAAACACAACAGAACGACACAATAGACAACTCAGTCAATTCAGTATTCTATAATCATTTTAAAAAAAGTTCCGGGCATAATGATTGCATTTTGTGTCATTTGACCTTTGATCCATGCTGATGGACCGTCTAAAAGCCTCCCTCTGAGCAATCAACGTGGACTTAGGCGAGGCTTTAGGACTGGCGTCCGAGTCGGCGCTGTCGTCGTCTCCCATGGCCTTTATGTAGCTCCCACTCCGCATGCGACGGCAGGGGATTTCGCCTCCGCTGTCGACGGCAGCGCCGCCGCTGTATCCTCCTCCCCAGTCTTCTGACGGCACCTGCAGCACATTTACACGGTGAGTCCGAATAAAAAAGAAGCGATCTGGAGAATGCAACACAGACTAGTAGAGGAGAAGAGTCCAACCATGTGTGGCAGACACATGGAGGAGTTAGTAAGACTCTCTCTCTAGATGTTTTCTCCATTCATGGATCAGACAGAATTGACATGAGTTCAAAGTAAGTTTGCATTCTTCATTGGCAACAACTGTTAGGGGAAAAGCAATTAATCACAGTGTGGATTAATTTGTGTTGCGATATTGATGATGCTGTAACTGCACAGCTGTGCCTAGGAAATATCTTTTCTCATAACAGTCTATTTTCAGAAAAAAAAAATATCCAGACTCAGACGGACAGACAGACATGGATTGCCGGGCTAATGCAGCAGCACTAAAGGCTCAAGCATGTGCTCATGCAAACGACAGGAGCACTCACACACACACACACATACCCCTTTACCGCTTACATACAATACACTACGTACATACCATGCACACACATGGGCGATGGCGTTAGAGATAGACAGCAGGGAAACAAAAGTGACTTACAGACAGAGAGAAACTCTGACAGCTGGAGAAACACTGACTCGGGGAAAGGAAAAGCAGAGTAAGCCAGAAGCAGATGTACTGAGCAAACAAGTAAAGCCCCCCTCAGAGGCAGGGCGGTGAGTAGAGAGGACAGAAAGACAGAGATGTGACATACAGAGCAGCTGACTGAGTTACCAGGTAACACAAAAGAAAGGACAGGGAAAAGCAGGGAAAATAGAGTCTAGTATAACAAATCAGTTCATAGGAAAATATAATTAGTAAAAAAGGAGCCAATGTGTCCAAGTTACTGATGACAAAACATTAAAAGAAAAAAGGCATGGATGAATTAGGATGAAACATCCTTTGAAATGTGGTAAAAGCACTTATTACAGAAACACACTCCCCAATAATCTTGATTCTTATTTTTTTTTTACATCAAGATGTCCGTCTAGGGACGTCTTCGTCTTCTAAAAGACAGAGAGCCTGAAATGACGCCTTATTATAGTGTATAGTGTAGAAAATAACTAGAGTGGAGAGGTGTCATTTTCCTTAGGTTTGCCTCGAAAAGTGTCATTTCTGATTCATCTTTCAAGTATTAAATGCAAAAAAAAGTTATTTTCTGTCATTTACAACATTTGCCATAATTCATTTTTTACACATGCTGGAAGAAGACTTATAGTTTAACTACAAAAATGCATGACTAAATAAAACGGCTACAAACAATGACTCATAAAAAAAAACACACCGCACACACACACAGACACACACAGACAGACATAAAACAAAGCCCAGGGGTTTGCGGTGCAGATGAGTGTGTGTTTTGAGGTCATCATTTAAAAAGATGATTCAGCCTTATCTCCTGATGCCTATGGCCATCCACTATCGCTCTCATTTTCTCACCCCGCTTATTTGCTCCTCTCACTCGCCCCTCGGCGATGATTACTTTGTTGATCTAATTTCTTTCTATCTGCATCCCTTCATCTTGCTCCGTTATCCTCACCCTCCTCCCATGCTTTCTCTGTTTTTGCTTTCGTTTCACTTTTAATCAATATTGTTTTGTTATTGTCTCATTGAATATATGGGGAAAATGGTCAATGTTTGATTCTGAAGAACACGTTGCGATCACAGTTGAGATAACCTTACATACTGAACCCCCCAACCCCCCCCCCCATTGATTGATTGATTTTCTAATTTTGTGCCACAACCAAAAGCCGTGGAGTAGTATTACTAACCCTACATGTTATATCACTGTTTAGTTAAAAAAAATCTACTTCATTTGTTGTAATGTGTTTTTTTTCCCGTCTTGTAACATTTCAGTTATGTAAATTATTGTTTTGGCAGAAGATAAAAAAAAATGCAAGAACATATTTATCACAAAAACACAAAAGTGAATAATTAAACAAAGTTTCGTGATTAAATTTTATGATTTTAAGCATGAAAACAATCTGATGGAAAAACCTTCGAATCCTGTTTTGATATATATTTATGCAAATAGAAATATTTGCATCCACCACTGCACTCCGAGGTTACTTATACTCCGAGCTCCTCAACAGTTTAACATGCACTAAATGTTAAGGCCACACAGTGAAAATGGAAATCAGGTCGTGAGGCTGGTACATCATTAAATTAAATGTTTTGTCACATATCACGCACCCAATAGTAAGAGAGGCTTTGAGCTCTGAACATCTTGTTTTAAGGTCTTATATTTAATCTCTAAATGTATCTGTGGTTTTTGTGATACATTTTTCTGCTTAGCCAAACACATTTATTTTTCCTAACACATGTTCTGTTTGTTGCTAAAAATAAAGTAGACCATTACAGATGTGGTCTAGAAAAGAAAAAACACTTTACAAAAATAGTGCATCGGATGCGGATATTTGATCGCACAAGGTGAGAACAAGGATGAAACAGAACATGTGAGCTACTTCTCACTCTCAAAAGAATAATAATAAATAATAATAATAATCTCAAATTCATTGTGTATCACAATTTCAGCTTTAAGTTTTATCCTTTTAAAGCTTTACAATTGAAACACAAAATTCTGTGATTTACCTGGCAACCCTTTTCAGGTTTATTCTGGTTATCCTGACACTTTACAGAATAAAACAGCAGGGTATACATTAATGAATCTCTAGTTTGAGGGTGTCACCTCTGAACGACAGGTGCCCCGTGCTGCCCTTTGTTCTGAGGTCTAGCCCTGGTGGAGAAGATCTGGACCACTCTGCAAGCAATCTCTGCAAGTGCTTCCTGCTCAGATGGCAGGTATGAGCCTGTCAATCAGACACAGGGCGAGTCACGCTCCCACAACTTTAAATGACACCTACGTAGAGACGTCACAGACCGGAGGACGGTGGAATTAAGTTTTGTGTCCTGAGGAATATTATACTGTAAAATCTTTAGGGCGCACAAGCGAAAAATTCGTACGGGATTTGCAAACACACACCGACCCGCTCCCACGTCTTCTCTATCAGCAGACCTCAGCTGTGTCTACAGGATGAGAGTTGGAAAAACACCAGAGACTTCTGTGGCTACCTGCTGTTTCCTTAGAAACACTGGCAGCACAGCTGCTCTACCTCAGCACAGCTGGAAGTTTCTGTGTGTTAGTCCTCTGTTAGTTTAGAGCAGCAGTCACCGGCTTTTTACTACGGAGAATTCCTTAAAAAAAATCATTTATTTTTACTATTAAGATAAAATTAGATAGAGGGGTAAAATAAAGATTTACACAGGTTAGTTTTTAAGACACGGTGTAGTGAGAGGGAGGGGAGAAATGTTAAGAGAGACATCAGATAATGCGTGGGTGACGTTTTGTGTCTCACATGAAGAATGTGAGGAAGACAGTGGTGGCCATGGTAACACTATATGTATACATATACTGTATGTGTATATATATGTATACATATATATATATATA